ATTTTCTTAGCTCTGTAGCCGAAGTAGCTGAAGTTTCAAATCTAATAAAAATAAATAGATAAATATTTACAAGACAAATGAAATAGCACTTTAGATGTCCAAAACTCTACATTTGTGAGGTTAAGGCCACATGCAGCAAATGCACCTGTTGCTTTGATGATCTTCAAGGAAATCTATCATCACACAAGGAACCAGTCCACAAGCAACCTTGCCAGAATACACATCAAAAGCTGTCAATCTATACAAAATTCATTAAAGTACTAGTGGTGACATGCTGTTTCTATACAGAATGTACAGAATTTTAAAATACTGAAATACTGAACAAGAACCAACTTGCTATGATCCATGATAGAATGCCTGCATGGATAATTAAAACAATGGTTTTATGTCATGCAACAACAACCACCTTCTCATTTAGTGAGGTCCAACAAAACTCCAGCTAATATATACTGGAAAGATAAGAGTTTGGACTGGTTCATCAAGGGTCTGTCATCTGAGGGCACATTTTCATGTACTTTTTTCCTATTTACAAAATTTACAAGTTATATTTTTCCTACCACAGGAGTGGATCTAATCTGTACATGTATTCATAAACAGTACAACTATTAAATACCCAAAGTTCCCCATAAACACATTGTTGGTGTGTCTTAGTTGAATCAAAAATGTTTTTAGGGTATGATAACTACACAATGCTATTTAACAAATTTATAATACTTCAGACCCTCATTGTTTTTATTAATATTCATATTAAAGTTCTGCATTTTCCTTTTATAAAAAATACAATATGAAATGTTCAGAATACCTTTGCATGACTGATTAAAATGATATTAATATCAATGGATTCTTCTCACTCTCTACTCTCTGTATATATAGAAATTATGCCATGGAAACACCCCCAATACCCACAATCTTAGGCCTGGTAGCAGGGGATGACATGAATGGTATAAAGGATATTGAGGGGTAAAATATGAATAATATACAGAGAATTCGTCAATATATAGTCTAATACAACTCATGCCCTGGACAATAAAGAATCCTCCACATAGGTACAGCAGGTTGAGTGTAGGACAGACCACGCAGCTGGTGCTCCTGTCGCTGTCGCCCCCAGAAGGGTGCGTCACAGACAATATAGTGACTTCTGTATTTTATGTATATTATTCCTATTTTACCCCACAAGTTCCCTGGTACATGTCCTCCCCCTGCTACTGGAGCCAAGAATGTGGGGGTTAGGGGGGTTCCACAGCAAATGTCCTACATATATGGGTTGTACAGGGCAAGAGGAATCATCAATAACACAACTATCTTGATTGGTCATGCAAAAGTATTGGTATTCTATACAATATCCATAGAGATTACATGCTGGACATTTTCATGGAGACACAAAGGTAAGTGTATCAGACATGCATGGAAGGCACTGCTGGCCAGTGATGTGTGCATGGTGTCGGTACTTACAGAAAGTTTACTGAAATAATATCCACCAAATGTGATAAGGTTTTATGCTCTGCCTCACACAGAATTTTGGGTAAATATTTACACCTTAGCATTAACTTTTTCTGCTTCATCTCATTAAGTATGGCCTCCACACCTGTTGGCACTCTAGCAATGATCAACAAACTTCCACCATATGCTTGTAGACTTCACTGGCATCACTTCATCACTGAAGAAAGATCCAATCAATGTTCTAATCTTGCCACAATTTTATATGTGGAGGATTTTTTTGGCCACTCTCAGAGCAGGAAGAAAAGAAAAGAAAAGAAAAATGGCATGTACATACATGCCATGCCCACTGTGGGTTAACTTGTTTATTTGTTTTTACACATAGATGGCTACACTTGTATTAAGTCACCAATGAGCCAGTTATGAGTACTGTCTGAAAATATTCAAAATCTTATTTTGCTGTTACTAATGTTTATAACATCATAGTAATTTTAATGTTTATAATAAAAATAACACCATCGATATTCATAGCAATAGTAAAAAAAAAATAAATAAATAAATTTTTATCTGTCAATTCAAGGAAAGGTGAAATCAGGTAAGGTTACAAGATCTACTAATTGACTCCTTTGCAGCTCAGCACTTGTAGAGCCATCTATGTACAGAGACATTTCAAAAAAATATAAAAAATGAGTACAGCATTTTCCCCACTTTTTATTCATTTTCCCCAGCGGCAATGGGTTAATGTTAATGAGAGTGACACGCAGAGATAGAGGGAAACACTCATAAAAGAGCATAAAAATAGAGTCATAAATGACACTGGTACAGCTGCTGCAGTGTCATATTTACTGCAAAATGATGAAAATATCTGTTGCATTTCACCATTCAGAAACCAAGTCAATATTACTTTCACACAGACAGTTCTTAATGTCACGTTTCTTATAAGTCCGTTTCCTATAATTCCTCCTTCCTGCAGTTTGTCAATACCTTTAGCACTGAAGGTATGTGTCACAAATATTTTCTATAACAAAATTGTTGTGGCAGTTGGCATAAAGTGCTTATAAAAAGGGGAGTATAGGGGAGGCTTGCCCCACTGTCTGGGAATAAATACAAGGAAAGTCTAGGTTTGGATTTTTGGGTTTGCATAATACCCTGGTTTAAGGACTCTCGGTAACAAATGCCCTACTATCATATATAATTTCAGATCGTCAGGGACAACCACCACTGTTTGTCCTCTACAAGAATATGAATTTGAATCTGTGTGCCCATATTGTACAGATTAACCTAATTATGAATTAAACCCAAATCTCATGGTAAAAGCAGGACAACTGAAACAGAACCACTCCCTAGGTTGAACCATTCGTAATACAAAACTAGTTGACATATTGCAGTAATGAGATTTGCGTTCAGTGTAGTACATAATCCAGAATTGCAAACTGACAGCGACTCATGATATTCAAATGCTTATTATAGGCACACTATCAGTGCACTCAATTTGTTTTCATTTTCATACACTTAACCCATTCACGCCGGGTAAAAATGAACAAAAAATGGGGGAAAAAGCTGTGTTAATTTTTTATACTTTTTGTGAAATTTCTGTACAATAGATGGCTCTGCCTTACCTGATTTCATTTGGCGGGAAAATTTATTTTTTACTAGTGCTATGAATATCGATGGTTATTTCTATTATAAACATTATAATTACTATAATGTTATGAACATTAGTAACAGCTAGATAACGTAAAATATTTTCGTAAATCAAAGAAAAGGGTAAACAGACGACACAGGCCGTACATGTACAAGTGTAGCCATCTATGTGTAAAAACAATTAAATAAGAAAACTCACAGTGGGCCTGTCACGTATACGTGACACCTGGCGCGAATGGGTTAACACATTGCCGACAGGCATGCCATGCCATGCCCACTGTGAGATTACTTGTTTGATTGTTTTTACACATAGATGGCTACACTTGTACTAAATCACCAATGAGCCAGTTGTGAGTACCGCCTGTCTCGCCCGTTTACCCTTTTCTTTGATATATGAAATATTTTATGTTATCTTATTTTGCTGTTACTAATGTTAAAAAACATTATAATAATTATGTCTATAATAAAAATAACACCATCGATATTCATCGATATTTCAAATCAGGCACAAGTAGAGCCAACTATAGGCAGACATTTAACAAAAAAATATAGAAAATAGGCACAGCACTTTCCCCCTTTTTTGTTCATTTTCCCCGGCAGCAATGGGTTAACTACTACATACAGAATAAGAATATAGACTTTCCTTAGAGATACAGCATATACCTAGTGTTATCGTGTTTCTTTTCTTTGATGTCTGAAATGCTTTGCCAAAACATTGTTCAAATGATTTTCCAGTAAAAAATGTGGATGTGGCATCTCTTAAATAATTCTCTTAAGTATCTTAGCCTAATGTTTAACCCCTTGGTGCCGGGTGACGCCAATCGGCGTACAAACAAACCGCTCGAAAGCTGGCGTGTGGCTGTATGCTACGCCGGCGTGCCAAAGCGCAGCGAGCCAGTGATTCGGGCTGATGTCCCCTACTCACGCACTCAAAGTCGGCACGCCGCCTTTGTTTGCTAGAGCGTAGAGTTTTTTTTTTGTTTTGTACACCCGGCGTCACTGGGTTAACAACTTTTCAGAAACTTGCACAGCTGAATTACAAAAGTTTAAAATTACCAAGTGATGCATGGAGATAGAGGGAAATGGACACTGTCATCTTATAAAGCATAAAAAATAGAGTAATAAACAACACACGTTCAGTCACACCCGACTCAAATTTCGACAAAATGACAAAAATATCAGCTGCATATCTCCTCTCAGAAACTAAATCCAGAAAACCCTCACACAGCCAGTTCTTAATGTCCACTTTCTATAATTTGTCAAGTGGTAAGGAGGGGTACAGAGGGGGGGTTCTGTCCCCCATTAGGGAATAAATGAGAGGTAGGAAGGGTTAGGTTTTGATTTTTGGATTCACAAGATACCCTGGTTTTGGGACTTTGTCTCTGAAGTGTGTGTCGCTCTCGGTAACAAATACCTTCCCGGAAATTGGCAGAGAATGAATCGTAACGCACATGTTGTATAATTCCCAGTTGGCTATGGCTACGCTTACGGTATCATAATATGATGTCTATTGACTATTCTCAAACTCTGCTACAATCACAGTACCAAATCAGTCACCATATTGTCTAATCCGCAGCCCCATGCAATCTCCTCACGGAGGGTGTGCCCCCCCCCCCATCCCCATCCTGGAAAACACAGAATCCTCCACCTATTCAAGGCAGGAAAGAACATCAGACAGACTCGGCATTGTGTCTCATGCTCCACCCTGCTGAGGGCCAAGCGAGAATCCCTCACTGAGCGCGGCCGAACGAAACTCCAGGAAAGCCAGTCAGCAGACATCCCATTATGCCAAAGCAAGTACAGTCACTTTATCAGGCCTTAATAACCACATAACAGATGAAATAATTACACACTGCTAGCTGAGAGAAAACAACCTTAAAGCAAATTCAGGCGAAAGGACTTCTTGCAGATTTCCCATCATGATGAAACCATGTCCCGAGTTTTTTTTCATTAATTCAACAAATATATACTAAATAATGAAAACCAAATGCGGACACTCATTCACCATAATATAATCATGCCTAGTGTAATAAGAAATACTTTAAAATACACATTAATTGTCAGCGTGACACATATAACGAGAAAGAAAAGAAAATATTTCCATCTGGCTGACCGAGATTCCTGGGCTCTGAACCGCACCCCATTTCATATCTTCCAAATTCCCAAAAATACGCATTACAACCTGCATGCACCGTGTCAAATAGCTTGGTACACTATAGTAGATTCCACAACCAAGGTTATATTTAATAAAGGCTGTATAATAACGCTGGAAATTACCTTGAAATAAGGGTCGGCCGCCCGGGTCCCGGAACCAAAACAAACCCAACGTGGAGAAGAGGAATTTTAAAATGTCGATATTGCTTATTTTGGCATTTATTAGAGCTATGTATTCATTAGTTTATGTTAGAATAATATCATTTATGGTTTTCTATACAATTAGAGATATATGTTTGCCGTATACATGAAAAACGAAAAGAAAAAAGTTGATTTCCCATTCTCTACGATGCGGCGTGCGAGAGGGAGTGTGTGTGTAATATTTTCTAAGTTAATTTCCATATTGAAAGAAATGATGGTGAATACATAAAAACAAAATATGTACAGGCGAAGATTTTGTCTACGCATTGCAGCGAATAGTATCTTTTTTCAGTTAATCTTGCCATAAAAGCGATCTTTTGGGTGGGTTTCTCGTCGCGATCGACTCCGCATGGCTTGCATTTTTGTATGAATATGTGTATATATTTATGTATCGGTGTATCGATGTATGTCTAAATGTACGGGCGTGTGCATGCATGTATGTATGTATATATGTATGTATATATCTATGTATGTATGTATGTATGTACATACATACGTACATATGTACGTATGTATGTATATATATATATATATATATATATATATATATATATATATATATATATATATATATGTATATATGTATGTATGTATATATGTACACATGTACACACACACACACACACACACACACACACACATATATATACATATACATACATACGTTTGTGTGTATATATATAAGTACATATATATGAATGGTAAAACACTCTACTCTGTTGATACTATGGTAGAAAAACTCACAAAGCGCAAACTACATTGATAATCAGGCGTTTCGAAATCCACTATCGAAGTCCATTAACAGGTCTCTCTCTGTCTTACACACACACGCATATACATATACATATATATAAATGTATGTGAATACATATACATACATATATGTAAATTATATATATATATATATACACACACACACACACACACACACACACACACACACACACACACACACACACACACACACACACACACACACGCGAAAAAATATATGTTTACATATATTTACAAATACAGACAAGATGTATAGACGGATGAATAGGTAGACAGATGGACAGGTGTAAGCATTAAAGAAGATAATGGCTTTGTCTCATAATCCTTGTTCTATGCAGCCTCAGAGAACGCCTGAAGTGATGGTTTCCGCGTGAACTGTTTTACATGATGCCTCTGTTTCGAAGATGGAGCCTCATCTCCCTCCTCGGATGCTGCGAGGTCACAGAAACGGATCTCAAGGTGGACGGTTTTCCTGATAAAGAGTTTACAATTCTAATGTTTGGAAATCCGAAAATATATATATATACAAATGAGATAATCAAGGATTGCTCAAAATGTGCAATACTGACAAATCATACATGTTATTTCAATGATCCCATGGGTCTGTCTACTCATAGAATTGTATAGAACTTGAATCGGCAAAATGCACGGAGTTTAATAATTAGACAAGACCGATAAAACTAGGGATAATAGACATGATAATGAATCACACAGCAAATTACAATAAAATATTTGACGATGTACCACATACACGTAATGTGGTACATTACGTGATAAACGTGTAAACGAAAGTGAATTATTCCGATGAACGAAATATATGATGCAAGTTCCTAAACTTGTATTTAGCTCTTCAAAGGGTTCATTCATGATAATTCTTTGAGTGAAACGCTAAATGATTTATAGTTCTTGTTCTATTTTATTACATAAAACACACATGTACGGGTGTACATCAACATAATACTTATGAGTTCTATGTACCTAAATGCTATTGCATGGGTGCCAACATGAAACTTAGAAACAAATGTCTCATTGCTTTAAACCCGAGACCGTGAGATAATCTCGAAGAAGCACGAGGAAAGAGTCGTTCCACTTCAGTCTGATATGTACTGTGTCGATGGTACTTCACTAAACACAAGAAAAACGCATAATTCCCCCTAGCGTCCTGCGTCTGATGTACAGTGTGTGGAATAATCCGTAGGGGACACAAGAAAAGCAAACAGTCCTCCCCGACGCCCTTCGGCCCACAAATCCGACCGCAGGCAACCGCGACCGGATGCAAAGTCTACGAGGAACATTCAATCGGCGACCGCAGTGCTACCAAATACACGGCCGCTTCACTTGAGGCTTCATTGTTGCCAGACGAAACAGTCACCGGCTGGGCTTGCTGTGACGAACAGTTGTAAACAGAAGTTGTTAACTTTGTTTACTTTTCAAATCAGTGAAGGCGCGACGAAAGAAAGCAAATTAAGGAGGATATACTGTATAGGGAGAGATTTGAGGTATGGGTTAAATATAACTCGAATAGTAATGGAGGGCAAACTATACCTTGCAACTCTTACTCTATGAATGCTGAAATAAAATAGATAAAGGATAATAAACAACTATAATAACACAGGTGGAATAAGTTACAAAGTTGAACATAAGAATAACAGTAGCTGTGACTGTAATGCCGATAGGATAATGATAAGAGTGAGTAATAAGAACAAATGGATCAATACACAGCCCTGCAAATGATAACAAAGATACACAGCGATAATGGTGACAGCAATAATGATTAAAGTAGCATTTTCTTATCGTCAGATATCAGATGACACGAGAGTAGGAAGTTTCCTTGCTGGGCAGCGCGAGTCCTTGCCATCTAGAGAAAAAAACAACATAATCCTCGTTAAGCAGGCGGTTTGGTAATGAATAGGATGAATTACTTATGAGGATGACTCACTTATAAACATTTGAGTACTTTTGTCATGCAACGACGTATCATTAATAATAATGATGATGTCGTCAAAACAGTAATCAAGTTGAAGATTATGATGGCCCGCTGTATAAACAAGGGTGATTTCGGATTAATTTCACAAGCGATAGATCTCATCCTTATCACAGTCACCAGCAGTGAGTGGCGGAATATGTCACCCGAATGAAGTCAGAGAAAGTATCCGAAAACAAGAGGGAAAGAAAAGGAAAAACTCGTATGAAGGATGACTATGAACACATCTTAATAGGGGAACGAAGATTCAGAAGAGGAGGAGGCGAAATAATGATAATAAAATAATAGTAAAAGTGATAATAATGGTGATAATATCAATATTAGTCATAACAATAATAATGATAATATTGAAAATAAAGATGATAATAATAACAACAATAATAAGACTAACAATTATAATCATAACAATAATAATAACATTAACAAAGAAAATAATAAGAACAAGAGATTAGGAAGAGGAGAGAAGAAAGGAGACAAAGAGGAAGAAGAGGAAAAGAAGAAAGGAACCCGAGATGCAAGTTTCCCACACACACGTAATGCACAAAGAAAGGTATCCCCCACCCACTCCTACCACCACCCCTCCCCCTCCCCCACCCCTCCCCTTGGTTGCTCATCCCGCCAGCTGATTTGGGAAAAGCAGTCACACTGTACAACTGGAAACCCCGAAAGTGTACAACGTAATTACTGTCCTTGCAGGTGAGCGCACAGCTGCTGAAGGGCTGCAGCTGTGCCAATAACTGATGGACAAATTATTGATATGACGTTTTATTGATAATGATTACTGGGTCACATGTCACTTGCAGATAATTATTTTTTTCGAAGATATTCTATTTCTCACATTGGAGACGAAGAACAAACCTTTTTTCAATATTATTTTTCTGTCCGTATTCCTTTCAATCGACAAATTAGTGTTTTTTTATTTTCTTTTTTCTTTTTGTCGTGCCATTATTAAAGCGGAACTCATTCTAGTGCATAAAGTCTATTATTTTTTTATATTTTTATTTTATTACTTTTTCAATACTGAAAACTTTTTATTTGTTTATATATTTAAGCTGACACTAAAGCATTTCCTATGTGCTTTGAAGTGAAGTATGTTATTTATTCAACAAATAAATTTGTGTAAATAAATTAGACAGGAATTGCAAACATTAGACCTAAAGATGTATTTAATAAACTTAAAAATGAGAGTGAACTAGAGGTCGGGTCCCTCACTTGCTTGGTGTGCAATTTCAAGTGTTCTTGGGAAGTTTGCACCTTTGATCACACTCTGAACAGATTAGATAAATTCTCACGTTTTATACAGTAACCATAGGCGTAGGAGCTGGGGGGCGGGCTGGGCTGAATTCGGGCAATTTTGGGCATGGGCGTAGATAGGAATATTCATAGAGGGGCGAGAAATGAAGATATCCCGACAAAAATTTGACACTAATTCTCATTTTCGATTATTTTGAACATGACATAAGGCCGCTAGAACTAAACGAAACAGAAATCCATCGTTATTTTTCCGACAAGTGCAGAAAATTTCCGACAAAATGGCAGTTTAGCCTTATAAGTGTTTTTTTCGCCCCCCACCCCGACCCCCTCTATCTATGCCACTGGTGGCATTCATCACAAATTTTCTGGCAGGTGAAATTTCTTCCTCTTTCACTCGGGCACAAAATTTGCAGCCCCCCCCCCCCCTAAATTTTAAATGCCCCTACGCCGATGACAGTAACCGTCAGATGTCAGAGTCACATGATCTTTTAAAAATCAGATCTCTTATTCATAATCCTCTTGAGGTTAAACAGTACAAACTCAAGAATAACTTGGAAGGTTCGTCAATTTGCTCTGCGACCTCTGGCGAAGACGACGACGACCAAGGGCTCCTCTCTCCTATAAGCTCCAAGATTCTTAATGTTTGAGGCAGTCTAACTCTTCCTCTCTTCCTTTTCGTGTTTACATGCAACACTCAATGTGCTTTTGTTAATGAAGTTCACCAGCGCTGGTCTGTCTCATCCCTCTCGAGGACCCACTTGTTTGTTTTCTTGTTGACCCAAGAGA